GCAAGAGGCAACGCACAAGGGCAAAGCACAGGCACACACTAACATAAGGCACAAAAGGTGCAAGGGGACTGCACCTTTCCATTTGAGGCACACCTGATGGCCTCAGAATGCTGTAGACGTAATATGCAATGACTAATATTCTAGAAATAGAAATAAAGTCCATACAATGAACATAACTCACAGAAAATAACTTTACTCGCTCTTAAATCAAGAAATAACCAGTTTTCTTGAACTACGCCAAGGCAGAAAGGCAAATACATATAATCAAAGCAATTTCTAATGGCATACTATAGAATAAGATATAGAATAAGAGAGCCAAATTATATTACTTTCAGTAGTGAATTACGAAGAGATTTTCATATTCCAGAGGAAAAAGGAAACAAATATAAACTCACAAAGATCAAATGATGCAAATATCATCTACCCACTCCAAGAAATGTAAGAGTTTTGTCCAGGGCATCTTGCTGCAACTAAGCAGACTAAGTGATGTCTTGCCCCAAAATTAAAACCCTTTGGCTGAGTAGTTGTTGTAGCGTAACTGTAAGTGTTGATCCACAGGGAAGTTATATTAAATCAACAAAAAGAGTTCTCACAATGAAAAACTAAATTTGTTTTACACTGACCAGAGGTTGGAACCTGATCACAGGGTGTGGAATCCCTCATGCTACTGTCCATCCTTTTGCATTGACCAGGGGTTGGAACCTGAAAAACAGGTTCCAACTCCTCAGTAACACTTCAACTTCATGAACTTTGCTCCTTAATCAAAAATGGAGAAAATCCCACTTGAGCCTTCAAACTTCTAAATTTGAACCTTGGACCCTCATCTTTCTGGCTCTTTGCATTCTCTCCATTTAATTATCAAACCTTCAATCATAAAAAATTTGCACAACATAAATAGAATGAACACTTATGAAATTACTTGTAAAAAAATACAACTCTTAATCCCATAATTCCACAAATGCTAATGGTTAAACACACTTTAAATATACATTTTCATGCTTTCATCACAACCCCCAACCAGCTTATTGCTACTCTCTAGCAATACAAGCGTCAATTAAAAAAGAAAGCATGTTGATTAACTCAAATGGATATCTAACAAGACTACCTAGGTAATTGGAAAAAGATCACAGTTGCTATCAAGATTACTTCAATTATAACTTCCAAAAGTGTGTGTGAACTAAGCATAACCTTCATACCACAAACCGCAACATATATAGCCTTGAGAATTAATCAAAGTAAAAGCCTCAACTCCATATCCTCACACGATAGTAACTATTTAATGCAAAGGATTTCTCTCATGGAGTTGGAAAGCAGCAAGTCACTCAAAGGAAAAGGTCAAATTTAACAGACAATCAAACTAACAACCATTGATTAGAAGATAGGTTAATTAGCTATTCAAAATTCCACTACTCTTACTATAAAATAGCTTCAGGATTTCAATCAATCAAATGTGAGAGCAATAAAAGTAGAGCCTAGTGAGAAAGACTGTTCCCTCAAAAGAAAAGAAAGTTTGTCCTCGAAACTAATGGAAGACTTTATTTTGTAGATTTTTTTTCCTTTTTTTCTTTTCTTTTTTTTTTTCCTTTTCTGTTTTTTTTTTTTTTC